TTGTTTGTTTCCTGCCTAATACATGCAAAGAGGTGATTATTTGAGTAAAATGCGTGTACATGTCAGTGATTGATTCATTTAGTTTCATATGAAATAGTTCATAATCATGCAAGAAAATAATTAATCTAGACTATTTCACATTGTTAGTCCCTTCATATATAATATAATGTCGATCCCAAAATTTTTTTCCACTTTTACAGGTTGAAACACACATGTAGTCTTCAAATTTAAGTACACAAAATAAATTATTCGAATATTTTGCATTTAATTAAGCTAATTCATATTCTTCTATAGTCCAAAAAGAAAATGATTTTTCAGCTCTAATGCCATTTTCTAATCTAGTTTGTCTAGTATATCCATCTTGAATTGAAATCCATAAGCAATACTGAAGCAATTAAAGAAAAGTAGACATTTATGTTTTCCAAAAATTGAAAGGGATATAGGCAAATAATGGGGGTCTAGTGATCAAATACCCTTCTGGTGTGTTACAATTTCCAAAATAACCATAATACTTTTCAAAAAGTAATCTAAACTTTAAATTTTTAAACATTGCTCTAATACCACTTTAACAGTTCGTATAGGTTGTTAAACCTACATAATTGTCCCAAGGCTAACCAAGAGGGGGGTGAATTGGTAATTTTAAAAACTCTTTGTAAATTTTAGAAAAATAGTTTAATAATTTTAAAAGAATTTTATTTTGCTTTTCAAAATTTATTTTTCAACCATAAAATTAAAATTACTGAAAAGTCAAAAAAATACAAATATTTTTAGTGGTTTAGTCCAACAAGACCTATATCCACTTCCTTAAGGCTCCCTCTTTAGGTATTGCACTATTACCAAAGTGACTCTTCTTTTCCCCCATAACAAGGTGGTGAAGCCTTTACTATTTTCCTCTCTTACACAAATCTTCAGTGTGGCATAGTATCATATTCATTTCACACCATCCAAGTGTCAGCAGAGTACCATCATCATTTCACACCCTCCAAGTGTTGGCAGAGTATAACCATCCTTTCACACCTTCCAAGTGTCGACAGAGTATCGGATCTTCTCCAAATATCTTCTCTTGAGAAACTAGAAAGAAGAAAGAAAGAGAAGTGATACAAAAATAAAAGAGATTATTTCCTTTGAGTAACCTTATGAACTATCACACTCCACTTGCAAGAACTCTCTCTCAAACACTATCCCAAATCACACTTTAACTTGCTCTCTAAGAAATAATGAATACTATATTCAGCCAAGTCAGTTTCTAAGGACAATTTATATGAAAGATTAGAAAATTCATTCAGAAAATTAAAAATTTCAATTTTGAGCATATATGATCATACAGTGAGATCAACAATTGTACATATGAACAATTTTAAATTTTGCTCAAATAAACCTATACAAACCATTTTCATACATAATGATCGTACAATACGAACCAATATCATAATGTATGAACTATTTAGAAAATTTTTTGTTTCATCGGGATGAAAAGATACCTAATAACTTCTTACTCTCGACATTATCTATATAAAGATGAGATCGTATAATATGAATAGTATTGGAAAAATTTGATGTTCATCGGGATGAAAAGGGACCCATTGTTTTCATACTCTAAACATCGTCTATACGAAGAAGACTTCATATAGTATAATCAATTCAAAAAATATTCAAGATCGTTAGTATGAAAAGAGACCTAATCATTTCATACCCCTGTATGTCATCTATATGAAGGGCACTTCGTATATTACAATCAGTCCAAAAAATTTTCAAGATCATTGGGACAAAAAGAGACCCAATATTTTCATACTCCAGATATTAACTGTATAAAGGATACTTTGTACAACACGATTAGTTCAAAAAAATTTTGATGATCATTGAGACAAACTTGTTTGTATGTATTTCATAATTTAGACCTCATCTGTAAGACTCTCTTTGTACAATATGAACAGTATTTAGAAAATTTTCTTTATTTGGTTCGTATAACTATAGGAGGATATAATTAAATAAATCATCCTCTATGAATGTAAATTGTATAGTACGATTAATTTTAAAAAATACAAATTTTTAACACTCCCCTAGTGTGTGTGCGTGCATCGTTACTCAATTACAATCACACTCTATGAGACTCAAAAAAATGAAAAATATAGATTTTATTTATAATGAACCTTATTCTAATCTAATTTGAAGTCTTCAACAAACTGGAGTATGATTTTCCTAAAATATTAGTACACACAAAAAACAAAAGTAATATATATATATATATATATATATATATATAATGTATGTTAGGATAAAATAGTAATCAAAACAATAATATTTGGAATCATCAAAAACACATGATATAAAAAATATATTTATGAAAACTAAGTTGCAACAACTATCACTTTTTGCTCCAATAAGGTATGCTCGAAATTTAAATGTGATTAATATTATTAGTCATTCTTTCTTCGTTGTGGTATAGTTAAGCTGAGCATCCATAAGTGACCAACTTGTATAGTAAACGGAATGAAATATCTTACTTATTTTATTTCCAAAGATAATGCCTAGTGCATAATTACTTGCTTCACATATTTGCTCAAATGGCATATTCTAATATGGAATGATAATGATAGAAGCTTAAGTGGGAGGTACTATCAAAATAAAAAATTCTATGTACTATTCCTTAACAAAAGTGAATATCATACTCTTGGTTAGCAAGTTGTATATAGGTTTAATGATCTTTGAGAAATTGTTGATGAACTTTTTATAAAAGCTTGCGTGCATAAGATAATTATGAAATACTTATATTGATGATTGGGAAGGAAGACTCTCATTCACTTAAATTTTAACCATATTCTCTTTAGTTATCGCTAAAGAGATCTTATAACCAAACAAAATTCCTTCTTCCACCTAAAAATTGCATTTCTCCCAATTGACAATAGATTTTAATTCCTTGCATCTTTCAAGAAAATATATTAGTGATGAATTCATAGATTTGATAAGAAAATTTTATTTTTATTTTTATTATGTTTAATTATAGTAAAGATGTCATTTTTATTTTATGATGTACAGGAATGTCTTTAAAAAATGAGAAAAAAATACCTAGTAAAGTACCAGTGTTGTAGTGCTAAAACTATTTATGACACAACATCTCTAATGCACTGGAGATAAAATAGGACAATGCAGCACCTGATCCCCTAGAAAATTTCATTTAATTCAACACTTCTCTGGAATAAAGCTCAATTTCATAGTGCTATATAGCATCATCATGGTATAGATAAACATTACAGTGTCAAAGTCTTAGAAAAAAAAAAGAAAATAATTCAACATTAAAGTGAAAACTTCAAAAGTGCCGCAACACTAATAAGGTAAGAAAGCACCATTGTGAAGTAGTTAGAGAAATGAAGCACCTCATTGGATCAATCAAACATCACACTAGATTAGTCAACAATTATGCCAAGTCAGACCAATTTCATAATATAGCAAATTTTCTCGTGCCAAGATTATTTTAATGTGTGAAGCATTAATGTATAAGAAAGGAATTACTCTGAGTAGAGTCCATCTTTAGGATGTATTTATTATTTTTCTTTATGGGTGTTATTTTCTTTGTCTTTCTTATTTGCACTCTTTTGTTGAGCTAGCTACAAAAAGCATTTTGTTCTATTTTATTTTTATGGTTGGCTAAACTCTAGTTTTTGACTTACGATATGAAAAACTTTGTATATCCTAATATAGACTATTGTGAATAAATATAAATTATTATTTTCAATGTCTCTCATGCTAAATTTAATTTTTGTAATGGCCATGTATAAATTTAAAATCTAGTGTGATACATTACAACGATGGAGGAATATTGGAAAAATTAGGAGTATTGAAATGAAATTATTTCATACCAAGACATAGGTTTATTAGGATTATATTATCTATGGAGATATCATAACTATATAGAGGACAAAAACCTTTTTTACACTTTTACTAGCTCGATAGAGTTCTAAAGGTGCATAAGCTCTTATTCACACCTATTATGGATGAGTTAACTTAGGAGAACATTGATTCATTCACCATTATTACTCCAAAACATCTTTATTTTTAGTAATCTTAACTATTTTCAATATTTCTCAGTAGTTCTAATAACTATCCCTTCATTTCATTATGTAGGAAAAAATTAAGAATTTGAGTGGGCAATACTAGAGTCAATTGTGGTTTATATATTTCCTTATAGGTTTGACACTCTTCAAAAATCACTTTATAAGTTAATCGACTCATGTGCATGCATTAGTTGGAGCAATTAACATATAAATATATATTAGAACTCCAATATAGCCCAACCCCATCAATTTCATAGCACCATTTTCGTGAAGGTAGTATATGCTTTTGCAATTATTTTTATATTTTTCAAAAACATATAAATTTATTTATACTTAGTTTATATTTTGTTTTATTATCATTATTCTTGTGAAGCTATGAATCTATAACTGTTTGCTTTCATTTATAATTTTGAGTTTAGTTTGTTTTATTATATTTAAGTTTTTTTTATTATAGTTGTTTCTGTAGTAGATTCAATAAGGGGCCCTTATTTTAATTAGAAATAAAAAGGACCCTTACAAAAATTTGAAAAGTAAAAGGACTTCAATTGTAGAAATGGCCAAATAAAATTTACTTAATGACTATCCTAGACCTCTTAGGCAGTATGACAATCCCTTAGTAGATGGAATTCATCAGAGTATCAACCGACCTATTATCCAAACAAATAAATTTGAGCTAATTCATACTGTTATATAAATGGTATATAATTCTCAATTAGTGGAAACTCCTATTGAGGATCCTATCCTATACTTAGCTAGTTTCTTAGAAATTTATAGAATATTCAAGTATAATGGAGTCAGTGATGACGCTATTAGACTTCTTTTATTTATATTTTTTCTAAGGGATAAAGGAAAAATATGGTTGAATTAATTTTTTCCAGGCTTAGAACCACTTGTAATGACTTATCAAATAAGTTCCAAGCAAAGTATTTCCAACTTTCCAAAACTGATAAACTTAGGAATAATATTACTTCATTTGCCTAAATTAATGGAAAGTTAATTTATAGAAGATGGGAAAGATTCAAGGAGATTCTTAGAAAGTTACCTCATCATGCTTTGGTTGATTAGTTGGTGATTTAGACTTTTCATAATGAGCTTGTAGGATCTTTTAGGTTAATAATTAAAGCGATAGATAGGGGATCTTTAATGTTAAAGTCTTTTAATGAGGTTTATGTTCTAATAGAGGAGATGGAAATAAATAACTTTTGGTACCCTTCTGATAAGGTGAATCATAAGAGATTATCTTGTGTCTTTGAGTTAAATGCTTTATAAATTTTGACTGCTTAAGTTGTTGCCATGTCTAAGAAGTTTGACAATTTTGGAGTTCTTCTAGTTTCAAGATCACTTATGCAATTAAAAGAAAATAGTTTGAATTATTTTGGTGAGTCTAATGCTTAAAAAGTTAAGAATGTTATTATAAGTGGAAGACCTAAAAAACATATTAAAATACATTCAATTTAGGCATGAGGAATCACCCTAATTTTAGATAGAATAATAATTATATGGGAAAAAATAATGTCACCACGCAGATTTTGATTTATCCTATTTTATTATCAAAAACTGCATTGAGAATAAAGTACAGTCTCATGAGACTGACACAATATTCCACAATGAATTCAAAATTAAAATAAGATTTAGAAAATGATATTTCTATGATCAATCATAATTCAAAGAATAACATATCACCTCAAAAGATGAGATGTAATTTTATAGACTGTGTTTAGAAATATAAATAGGATTTTGAAAATTTATTCATTCTTTTTTTAGACATTACAAGGAGAAGATTATATCATCCTAAAAGATGTATATAACATTCTTCAAGACATCCAAAAGCAAGAATGGATTTTATAAAATTCATAATTTCTAAGTTGAATATAAAAAGTTGAATGTTATATTATCTAAATAGATAATAGTAAGATTCCATAAGCACATTTAAAATTAGAAATGAGTTTTTTTTAAAAGACATCTATATTCCCAAATATTTTTCTTGGGCTCTCAAGTCCCTATAGGGGCAAGCCCTAATAGTTAATTACATACTAGGAGGGGTGCTCCTAAGAAAACTCTCAATTAAAGTAGAGATTTCATACCCTTTGATTACAAAGTAAAGATAATAAAAGAAGTAGAAATTTTTCAAGGAGAAAGCTCAACGTTGAACAGTTTTTAATGAGTCAAAGGTGGAAATGTAAGAGGCGCCAGATTCTGAGAAGCTCAGAGGCAACCTTAGTCTACCCTATGTTAGGCTTTACATTTTAGGAGAGAATTTTTATGTCTGAGTTGGAATTTTATTAAAACGTTAGGATTATATTCACTGAGGGTGAGGACGTATTATTAAAAAATCTACTTATGAATCTAAATTTAAATTGGGTGCCATAAAGTAGTAACTAAACTTATTTAATGAAATGCAAATATGAACTTACCTTTGCCTGGATCGAGGAGCCAGCTAGCTACCTAAATGCATTAATATCATGTGTTTGGTATCCTTATGAAAGATGGGTTGGGAAGTTGTTTAAGTTTTGATGAATTGGGGGCTGACATCTAAGATAAATCCAAATTTCCCCCCTCAACTTATATAGCGTAAATGGTGCATAAGAGTAAAAAATAATTTAAATTTTGTACTCATTCAATTTTTATCTAATGCAATGCATGTTAATTGAATCAAATACATAAACTTATTATGAAGCATTTTTAAAATTAGGTTTAGAAAATATATTTTTCCCTAGAGGTTGCAAAACATCCCCTTGATAAAACTGCATCCTAATAGGCTAGATGGTTTGCCTGAACCCATAGGTGAGGAGGTGCCTAATAAAGAAGAGAAAGTAATAATATACATATATGCTAACTCTCAGTTATCCTGAGCTTACTTCTTAACTTGTTACAATTTTTATGTGAGCCTAAATTTTTATTAAATTTTTAATTATAAAAAAAGTCTATTCATATCATCACAAAACACTAATCATATCCAAGCTAAAATAAAACACGACATGTAAAAAAATCATAAAAATAAGAAATTTCTACTTTACAAGCAATATAAATAATCAAAATAAACTATCTAAAATATAATGTAAAAAGTCCATATGACAACTGCCATTTTATTTAAAACCCAAAATTTGCTGAAAAGTAAAGTGGTCGGGTACCCTAACAACAAACCTAGATTCTAATTCTAAGACCAATGCAAGTGATTTTGAAATGGGATATCTCTTCTTTTTCACACTTCCTCTTCTTCTATTCTTAGGCTTCTTTCCTTCTATAAGCTCCTTGAATTCACGAGGTCTGGATATCCAAATAAAAAGAAACTCATCCTCGAAGAGGTATTTTCTTTTCCCTTTGGATATTAAAGTTATCCAAACTTGGCTTTCCAAATAGAAGAGAACATTCTCTTTAGAAATATTCTCTTCTCTTTGGATTTGAAGTTGGACGTGACATCCCAATTTTAAGTCACTTTCACATTACAACTCTTTTCAAATACATTTACGTTATATTTCACATATAAAAGAAAATTTGGACCACCTATAAAGTTATCCTAAGAAATTATAATAAAATTATCCCAAACAGTTATATAAATTGCATCTACTAAGTGTTCACTTTCAAACTCTACAAATTAACACATAAATCTTTTGCTTTATTATTTTGGAGGGACATGTTGCAACTTAGATTTAAAAACTATATATTTTTTATATCATGTGAGTTTTTGATGATACAAAAATATTATTGTGTTGATTACTTTTTCTCCTAACATATATTGTATATATTTTCTTTGTGTTATTTATGTGTACTAACATTTCAGGGAAATCATACTCTAGACTATCAAAGATTTCAAGATAAATTAGATTAGGATTTTTTGTAATGAAGTCTATACTTTTTCTAGTTTTTTAGTTTAAGAGAGTGTGATTGTAATTGGGTAATCGTGCACACACATATTGGGAGAGTGAGTCAAAACTTAATTTTTTTAAAACTAATCATATTGTATGATTTTAAAATTATATTAGATGATTTTCCACAATAGTTCCTCGAGAATGGAGTTAATCAAGTCATGCCTTGAAAAAGTTTCTTTTTGTACTGTTCGTACTATATAAAGTGGAGTTTGTACAGATGACATCTAAAGTATAAAGTGGGTACGTACCAGTTCATCCCATATAAACAAATTAATTTCTTAAACCATTTGTATTATACAAAGTTGAATTTATACAGATGACATCTAGTGTATGAAATGGGATCATCCATGTTAATACCAAACGATCTGATCAATTTTTGAACTGATTATACGGTATAAATTTAGGTATGTAGAAACGAATCCCATAGTACGAAATGGGATTGTCCATGTTAGTATCAAATGAAGCGTGATTTGTTTAAAATTTTTGTACTATATGAAGTAGGATTCATAGAGATGATGATCTGTGTATGAAATGAATTCTTACATAATCATATAGGACGAACTTGTATAATTTTGAACTATTTATATAGGTTGATTTCAATTCATATAAATGACTGATAGAGTTTGAAATTAGGTTCGTACAGGATCATACATGAATTTTTAAACTATTTGTATATATAAAGTATAATTTTACTATATGATTTGAAGACGTTTAACATGAAATTTTCAATTTTATAGATGGTTTTTTTTTTTTGCTTTCATTTGTAAATGTCTTAAAAAATTTTTCCACTAATCTTCTAGAGTTATTGCTATGAATTCTTTCGAAGAGTGGAAAGAAGAGTGTTTGGGAGAGTTTTATAAGAGTGAAGACTGAGAGATCTTTTTGAGAGAAATTTGTAAGGGGATTCAGAAGGTTACTTAAAGGTAAGAATCTCTTATTTATTTTCCAAGTTTCTCCCTACTTTATTAAAGGCTTTTGAAAGAAGACATTCAAAGAAGATCATAGTACTCTACTGTCACTAGGAGGGTGAAAGAGGATGTTGGTACACTACAGTCACCACAAGGGTGAGAAAGGATTTTGTTTCTCTGCTGTCAACAGGAGGGTGAGAAAGAATGTTGGTATTCTTTCCATCACCAGTAGGGTGAGAAAGGACTTCAGTACTCTATCGCAATGTGTTAGTGGAAGAGAGGCTATTGTAAGAGCTTCTCTGCCTTACTATGGGAGCAAAAAGGGAGATACTTTGATATAGTATAAAATAAGGAGTCTTTAGGGAGAGTTACTTTAAAAAAGAACCAGATCAATTAAATGCAAAATGTTTAAATAGTTTTTCAGTGCCCTTAAATCTGAGAACTATATGCATATTTCAACCTGTAAAACTAGAAAAGAGATTTCGAATAGACTTTGCATAATGTATAAAAGAACTAATAATGTGAAACAGTCGATATTAAATATTTTATTTTATGACTACAAACTTTTTTGCATGAAATCAAATGAATCAATCGCTAACATGTGTACTCGTTTTACATATATAGTCACTTCATTGCATGCTTTAGGTAGGGAACTAACAAATTCTAAAAAAGTTAATAAAATTCTACATTGTTTACCTACCACTTATTATATAAAGATAACTATCATAACTAAATCAAAAGACCTAACTATTTATTATATTTATAATCTACTTGGATCACTAATTGCTTATAAGAAAGGGGTGACTCAAAGACATATTGATGCAGGAGATAAGATAAAGGAGAAAAATATTGCATTAAAAGTGGATGACTCAAAAAGTGATTAGTTATAGCTTGAGGATGAAAAAGATATTTCTCTCATGATGAGGAAATAAAAAGTTTTGTGAGAAGAAACCAACAGAGATATTATTAGTGGAACAAGGGTATGTTCCACAAAAATGTAAAAGCTTCTAATGGTGTAATTTATTATAAATGGAGAAAGCTTGGACATATTAAATTTAATTGCCTAAATCTCAAATTAATCCTAACAAGGAGAAAGCTGAGGAGAAAACCATTATTATGAAGGGCAAGAAAAGACTACAAAGAGCAATCTGGGTAGAATAAACATTAGATAACTCAGAAATAAAAGTAGAAGATGAAGTCACAAACTTGTATTTAATGGATGAAAAACTTGATCTGTTAGATCAAGAGAAGGTATGTGATTTATCCTACGATGAGTTA